AGAAAGCGGCTTCTTCTTAGAAAGCGGCTTCTTCTTCCTCGGAGGCAAGTTCTTCTGCGCGTATGTGTAGAGAATGAAGTTTCCTACAAGGAACGTCACTAGCAACCCTCCAATGACAAGAAGGACGATCAAACCCGGGTTGAGCCCTTTGCTTTCGATCTTTCCCTGTTCATTGTTTTTTAGCAACATAGATATGAAATTCAGACACAAGTAACAATAAGATCAAGCGAGAGACACAAAACATATGCTGGTCTTTATTCATTATTCGAGTTTCACGGTGTTAAAAAAAGAGAGAGAAAAGTTAAGACTTTGCAAGATATATACAGATTGAAACATCGGGACTAGCTTCTAAGTTTTATTGGCACTTCAATTTCACCCCATAAGGATAATGTCGACGAATTAACTTATAGTCTTATACTATCAATGGCCATTACTGCAAGAGTTTGGTAAATTAACATTAACATTTCATGTCAAGATCAATATGAGAGAAATGATCAAGTTCATGGTCATTAAACAAAATCCTCCACAATAATAGAACTCAAAGGCAAAAAATTCTCAAAAACATAAATAAAGACAAAAACTTCACCGATCCGATCCGATTCTGCTAAAATTTCATGGAATTTGACCATTATCATGTGTATTGACCAAAATGCTCAAAGACAACAAATGCTCACAATCTCAAACCTTATAACAGGCACATGCATCAAACCCAAAAGATCAGACCCAAAGCAACACATAACATTAGCCCTTCTACAAAACAAATCCACATACACGTAACAGCTTGATAATACAAAAAAACTTATAAGTTCACAAATAGTAAAATACCTAATCATTAGCCCTTGTACAAAACAAATTAGTATTTTTGGAATTTAGTCGAACAGTTGGTGGGCAAAATTATGGGGTTGAAAAGAAACGTAAGAGACAAAGGAAGAAACTTGTTCCCAATCGAATAACAAATCCAAATTCATTTCTATAAACAATAGGTGCAAAGATCATCTTCAGTAGCTCACATAAGAGAATTAAAATCAAACTAGCGATTCGAAACAAAAGTAAGCTCATAGTTTTACCTTCACTAGCTTTGAAAATCATATCAAAGAATCAAAGGAATGGAGAAATAGGGACGACGACGGAGGCAACGGTCACCGGAATTGAGAAGGATGGCGACGGAGGCTTCGAGAAGACAAGAAGGCTCACCGGAGAAGACAAGAACTGGTCGACGAATAAAAGAAAAACCCTCGGCGTAAACTTTATAATTGTTAATTACTATGATTTTTTGTTTCTTTTTAAGTAATAAAATGACACTATTGTTATTAAAATGAAGTTTGATGGGTTAATTGACTTTTTACACGTTTTTTGTTAAGTGTTTTTGAATGGATGTTAATCTAGTAATATATGAATGAATTAGTGCTAATCTGTTTAATTTTTCTATTTTTATTGTACTCGTAGTATTTTATTTTTTATAACTCAAAACCGTTCCGCCTGGACAACATAAATAAGTTACCGTGGATGCATATTTATATGGGGAATTGGGTCAACTGACCATCAAAAATTTTATAATTAATTGAATAGCCAAATCAGATATTGGGTTAGGATATGGACAAAGTAAGTTATATAATACCCAAAATACCCCTAATGATAATTGAAGAGAAAATTGTGATTATGTTAAAGCTGCCAACACTTCATCTTCTCCGATGGAATCACGACCGTCTCTATCATCCTTATCCCCTTATGGTTCACGATCGTTATCTCTCATGCCTACCAAACCGTCTCCGCCTTCA